TAAGAAAAAGCATGTTTCTTGTCGCTGTGGCTATACGTGGAAACCAGTTATCTGCTTTTGTTGCAAACAACATTCTTTTTAATCAAGTTGTATAGATATTGGTTCCTCAAATCCTTACTATATATCCTTACTTATATTATAAATGGGAAAGTGAGTTTGTTTGTTTGTTTGTTCCGCTTTCACGCAGTAACTACTAACCCGATTGCTTTGAAATTTTGCAGACGTAAAGTTACAAGTCCGGATTAAATAATAGGGTACTTTTTATCTCGGAAACATTTGATATTACCGAGGGAAAACAAAAGAATTGGTATAGATGGCGCTGTATGTATTGGTATATGTCACATAGGCTACTTTTTATCCTTTTGTGACGCGAGTGTAGCTGCGGGAAAAGCTAGTGTAAAATAAATAAACAAAAGTGAGTAAAGTTAGCCTAAAATATGTTTTGTAGACGGCTAATTAATAAATTGACCTTTATAGTAACTTTAGTCAACTACATCCTCAGCAATATTCATTTAAGTTAGGAAACTTAAAGGCCAAAATAATTAATTACAACCTACATACGTCCTATATTTTCTTGCCTGATAATTGGTAAGAGCCAATTACCGGCGGGTTTATCTTTTAAATAATTGTCAGCAATTAATTCAGTGTGCAATGCACTAGTGTAGGGATTAAATCGATAAAATGTAATCCGAAATTTATGTTGATTAAATTCGATTCGCCTTTTCAGTGTCGCTATAATTAATTTTAATTGTGTGAATTTAACATAATATAACATAACATCACGCCTTTTTATCCCCGAAGGGGTAAGCAGAGGTGCACATTTCGACACTTAATGCCACTGTACAACGTAACACCCACTTTTCACTATTTATTTTATGAGTCCTATGTAATAGGGGGTGAAAATGTGAGCCTATTGCCATATACCGGGCATATTTTCAGACTCCGTGCTACTACTGAGATTTTTAAAAACCCAGTAATACTTTGTCCGACCCGGGAATCGAACCCGAGACCCCTTGCCCGGCAGTCGCACTTGCGACTACTCAGCGAACGAGACAGTGAACGAATTGTGTGAACTTATTTGTGTTAACTGTGAAAGGTCATAAGAACTATTGCTAAGCAAAGGATGTAGTATTCGATTTTCGAGACAGGAATAGTTATTCAAATTTTTATTTAGAAAAGTTTAGTAATATCTGCAGTCGAAATTATGGACATTATTTCATACATAATATTATAATTTGAAATTATAAGCCCAGGTTTCTCGCAAAGTTTTCCTTCACCATTTGTCAGTGGTGTCTAAGTAATATCAAAAAATGGGTGGGTGTGGGTTAAAAAAGTTAACTGGAAAAATAAATTGCATTGAACATATACAACACAAAATCACGCCTATTATTCTCGAAGGGGTAGGCAGAGGTGCACATTATGCCACTGTACAACGAAACACCCACTTTTCACTTTTTATGTTATGAGTCCCATGTAATAGGGGGTGAGCCTATTGCCATATACCGGGCAGTATTCCACACTCTGTGCTACTACTGAGATTTTTTTTATAAAACCTTGTAATACTTTGCCCGGCCCGGGAATCGAACCAAAAACCCCTTACCCTTGTCGAAGTCGCACTTGCGACCACTCGGCCAACGATGCAGTCATTATATTCAAGTACCTATTATAGGTCCCTATGTCACCTTTCCTATCTCCAAAATATTTTAGTATATCCATTTCTAGAACTCCATACCTCCCGCACAACCGAAATGCCTTATCTTTCTACGAGTAGTAATTTCGACTGTGTGTCTGTCTGTCACTCAGTCACCAGTGACGGAAGAGTTTTATCTATTTTCCTTTTCCGCTAGACATGGCGAACGATATTGACTGATTGACTGACTGACTGATTGATTGATTGATTTTTCATCATCGTGTTTTTCAGCCTCATGTAGGTAATAGCAGTACAGCATAATGATAAGTAACTAGTAGAAATTAAAGAAAAAAGAAGAAAAAATCTCAGTAGTAGCACGGAGTCTGGAATTGTGCCCGGTATATGGCAATAGGCTCACCTCCTATTACATGGGATTAATTACATAAAGAGTGAAAAGTGGGTGTTATGTTGTACAGTGGCATTAAGTGTCGTAATGTGCACTTTGCCTAGCGCTTCGAGGATAAAGGCGTGATGTTATGTTTTGTGTAATAGAATCAAGAACCAAATATATTATGTGATAGTAGCCATCAAAAAGGCCTATGTCCAGCACGGTGTGGTGCACAAAGGCCTTCCGCTTGTCATGTATGAGGGCGCGGTTTCATAACCTACCAACGGCAAGTACCAATGTGACTTTTCCGATTATGTACTTTCTAAGATTATTTAGACACCACTGACAAATGGTGAATGAAAACATCGTGAGGAAACCTAGACTTAGAATTTTTAATTATAAGTTTGAAATCGTCAACCCGCATTGAGCAAGCGTGGTGATTAATGCTCAAATCTTTTCCGTGCGAGAAGAGACAGTTGTTTATCAGTGGGTACTTATAGACTGCTGCTGGTGACGATGATGTCCAGCATAAGACTGAATGATGAGTTCAACATATTTGATACACTTTTTAATATTTTATATATAACCACAATCTTGTTATTTTAAAGAAGTAGAACCTATTTGGTTTTCAGTTTAGTAGCCATAATAACTTTTTAACAAGCAATTTGGTTCATAGTCTAAAATAATTTTTCTTATTTTTCCTTTTCTTTATCTTCTAGATTGGCTCAAACCACGTGATCTCGTTACCCATTATATTTAGATACGTGGGCGTCAAAAAGGGTATTTTATTGGTTTTCATGAAAATTAATCAATTTTTGCAAAGGTTAGGTTAGGCAATGTTATTTTGGTAAAAGGTTAGCTAATTTAATAATAATATTACGTGATGTCATAAAAATATGTAAGGAGGTTTATTGTTATAAGTCAACAACCAAGAAATTTAAGCAATGTGTCAAGTATGAGTGTACACAAAATATATGAGCCTGCAGACGGCGAGCATGGGTGGCTCGCCGCCCGACCACAACTAGACCCTAGCGTACGGCGCGTCGCGTTCCTTGCGCCCCTCAAAGAGCCATCAGACCACCACGGATATACCACCCAATAGAGCTGATGCCGATTCGGAGCCGAGGAGAACCTAACGGGCTACCGGAGCTCCGGCTCGGAAGTGCAGGAGAAGGAACGGGGTGGTTTTTAGTCAGTAAGAGTCTGACACTTCCTCCCGCCTCACCCAGGCGGGAGCAGTCATTCGATGATTTTCCCCCCTTATGAAAAAAAAACACAAAATATACATATTAGGTAAATAAACATGAAATGTGATTTAAAATGTTTCGTGATAACTAGATACAGCTAGATGTTGGATTAGATCATAAAACTAATGGAACATTGTTTTTGAGTATAGGTATAGTAGTATTCCAAATGCTCATTAAAAATATGCGTAAAATATGTATACTGCCTACTGAAAATAATGCCTAAGGCCTGATACAAGAATATAGACCTTCGATCCGTGGAGACGTTGAAAATTTTACTTAAAATATGTTCTTACCATTTAATACCTTAGAAAAAAACAATAGGTTTAGTTACAAAACGTTTTTCAAACTTATATATATATATATATATAGCAACATAACAAATTAAAAACTTATTATAACTTTCTTGAGACATACTAAATTAATTATGTATTCGGCTTACTCACGCACCTGCTTTACGAGGATCTCGACTAGTTTCAAGCTATGCTGAGGCTCATAATCATGAGCAGCATTTTGTGACTCGCGACGCGCTGCTACTCTGTCATCAGCCGTCAAACAGTTACGCGAGTAAGCCGAAAATACAATAATTAATTAAAAACTTGATATCACACACATTCACCCCTCTACAAACCCCTTAACCGTATACAACAAGCATATTCCCTTTATCTAAATTAACCACATCAGCTGAAAAACAGCCTCCCAACTAAGATCATTAACAGGCCTCTAATCTCAAGGTAAAGTTTACTTAAATCGGCTTAACTAAGTTATACTTAGATCATACAACATAACTTTACGTAATCCGTTCGTAAAATACATAGCTTCGTTCAGTTAAGTCTTCAAAGTTAGACTTAAGTTAGGAAATAACAGTTATTAGGATACTTGGTCATATTGCGTTGGATGACCTCGATTATATATAGGTATATACATAATAACTATCGTGAGACATACTCGATTCAGAGCTCAGTAAGCTGCGCGACGTCGCCGCGACTGCGCACGCTGCTCATGAGGAAGAACCCCTCTGTGGTTCGAAACTAGTAGAGCTTTTCTCAGTATATTCATGTGAGTAACCCGCGTTTCTACTTAATTTAGGTATATACATATATAAATGTATTTTTTATTGGAACGAATGGAATTTCTTCTTCGTTCTTCTCCATTCAAATCTACATCTCAGAATGGGCGCCTAGCTTCACTGACGGACCGACTATTATTTATTTTGTATTTGTTGGCGTTTCACACTAATTTCCTTTAACAAAATGTCGTATTAACATAAAAGTACTTTTTCATATCAATGTAAAAAACACAGTGAAATTATAACAAGACATGCTTTATTAAAAACATTTTTTATTGTTTATTTTATAAATAGGACTCAATTAATAAGATTATATGCGAATGTATCTATTTTATTATTCTGACATATTGAGTTGCTACCATTTTTATTAATACTTTGGTATTAAAAACAATCGAACAAACAAACAAATACTAATTGCAATAACAACAAAACAAATCTGTTATCTTGAAATTTATAAATGATTAATGGCCGTTTATCAACCCCTAAACCAGCTCTTAACTAAGCGTGACAGCGTACCATCTCTTTACTAAGAGTTACTTAGTGTGATGGAGCACCTAAACTAATCCCTTATCTATATTGTACAATGTCACTTAAAGTTTGATGTAAACCAAAATAACGTTTAGTGTCACATATTATTAACTCAGATTAGGAATTTCTTAAAACTTAAGAGAGGTTGGTGAAAGTAGCCATAGATTTGATATAACCTCAATGATGATGACAGATATCCCAAGTATCAAGAATAAAATCAGCTGCTCTTTCAGCTATAATTAAAACTGTAGCCAAAATATTCGCACTAACTTGAGTTGGCATAGAAGAAGAATCGACAACTCTGAGGGATTTCACACCTTTAACTCTTAACTTACTGTCTAAAACAGACCCCATACCACAAGTACCAGCAAAATGCCACAAACTTGATGACGTAGACAACGCCATACATTCCCAATATTCATCAGAATTAACATCCGTACATAAACCTGTATCAACAAGATTCGCATCAACACTCTTGAAATATGAACTCTCTACAACCTTGTTAAAATCAGCCAAACTTGCCGCCATTAGTTTCAAATCCGCACTATCACTGAATATCCCAGAATATACCAAAGGATCGTCCAAAGGATCAGCACTTCTTAGTAAAACCTTACCTCGAGATTCAGGTATCATCAGATCAATGATAGTCCAAATTACAGTCCTACCAATTGAAGCATTGTAAAAGAGGTTGCATAGAAAATCTGAAAATTTGTACACGTTTGTACAAAGCTGAAGTAAACCAGCAGATTCGTGAGGAAATACTAAATTGATTGCTTGATAATCTGGGCGCTTTTGTGATGAATTAAGAGCGACATAACCAATAGTCATTGGAGCAGGAAATTCGAAAGGATTGGCCGCTGGAGTCGGAGAATCATCTTTTTCCATTTGATACACTAGTACTGATTCAGAATGATCTTGCAACATTTCCCCCACAGGCAGATCAGTGACTACATCTATACCCAATGATTGAAGATGATCTTTAGGGCCTATACCAGACAGCATCAATAATTTAGGACTATTAAAGGCTCCTGCTGATACTATTACTTCTTTCTTTGCTTTAAATTTCTTGATGACACCATTGTTATCAACGGCTTCAACACCAGTTGCTACATTGTTTTCTATTATGATCTTAGTTACTGTTGTTTGAGTCATAACATATAGGTTAGGCCGGTTTTTGGCTTGGTTTAGATATTTAACAGCACTACTCTGCCGAATATTATCAGCTATATTGACAAAGGGTTCAGAGTAAGCCAATCTTGATTCTGGTGTACTCGTGTCTTCCAGGATACGATGACCAAGTTCTTCGAAGGCTGATAGAATGTTCTTGTTACTATCAGTTCTGTGCCTAGTGATTTTAATTGGTCCTTTAGTACCATGTTGTTTGGCATCTGGTGAAGCTAGTAGTTCTTCATCTACTAAATTTTCTGGCCTTTTAATGTATGGTAGCATATTTTCATAGTTCCATTTGGGATCATTTAGGATTTTTGCCCATTCGTTTAGGTCGTCGGCGTGTGGTTGCACGTATATTAAATGGTTTAAGGCACTGCTGCCTCCTAACATCTTTCCTTGGGTGAGTCCAACGTGTTGACCTTGAAGATTTTGTGCCGCATAGTCATCGTCAACTGCTGTGTAATTGAAGTCATATGAAGAGCTTGCCAGTAACGGGAACAGTGCTGCTATCTGAAATATTTTATTGTGAGAATTACAATTACTTCGTCCCATCCATCATGAATAATAATTTACTAGTAGCACATAGTATAAATTCTGAAAATTATTAAACAACACAATTCAACTCTATTACAGTAATTTTAAAGTACATCACCAGCAAAAGTGGATTTAGAGACCCCTTCTACCCCTCCAACTCCTTAGTAGAAAAAAACCAGATACCTACTACACGATAAAAAACCATTGAAACAATATTTATTTTATGATCGGATTAAAAAATAGCACTGTGACACCTCAATGTTTTAAAATTATCTAAATAAAGCTGGCATTTTTCTATCTGACTACTCTGAGAAGAAATAAGGACTATTTTCTAATCAAGAAATCAAATAATTTTACTATAGAATCTACCTCTGATTCCAATGGTGCTGCTTCTCCAGCTTCTATCAGTAGGACGGAGACTTTAGGGTTAGCTGAGAGTCTGTTGGCTATGACACACCCTGCTGAGCCGGCTCCCACCACAATGAAATCAAATGATCTGCCATCTGGAATTATTAAACGGAACTTCTTAGTGCATATTAGTAAATATAACATAACATCACGCCTTTTAACCCCGAAGGGGTAGGCAGAGGTGCACATTTCGGCACTTAATGCCACTGTACAATGTAACACCCACTTTTCACTATTTATGTTATGAGTCCCATGTAATAGGGGGTGAGCCTTTTACCATATACCAGGCACAATTCCAGACTCCGTGCTACTACAGAGATTTTTTTTTAATAACCCAGTATTTCTTTGCCCAACCTGGGAATCGAACCCGAGACCCCTTGCAGTCGGCAGTCGCACTTGCGACCACTCGGCCAATGAGGCAGCCGCTTTATATAATAGTAAGTATAAGTATAAGATATAAGATTTGTGCTTACCATCAGGTGTGCGTGATGGTGGAAACCTCCAATGTGTCAGTTGTAAGGTCTGAATCATAAGTAACGCTGTGTTCACAGCTTGTATGGTAGACAACGTTGCAGCTGCGGCTGACATTGCTGAAACGTTCATTACAATTGAAAGCATCTCGCTATTTGATCATTAAATGGATTGATGGTAGTAGACCTAGGTAATGGCCTGTTCAGGGTCCTACTAGAGCCTGAATAAAAACTCCAGACTATGTGCCCCGCGGAAGGACTAACGGGTCGCCGGGGCCCCGGTTCGAAGAATAGGAGTAGTAACGGGGTGGTTTTTAGTTAGTAAAAGTCTGACACTCACTCTCGCCTAACCCAAGGCGGGAGAAGGCATTGGATGATTTCCCCCCTCAAAAAATCATCGATTTCATCTAAATGTTATTTAAAAAAATAACAATTACCACTTTAACAAATTAAAACGAATCGTATTTTTTGAGTACATATACATGATGGTATGATATACGACATGATGTGATTTAAAAAATATATTAGTAAGAAAAAAAATCTCTAACATACTTACTGATATAAGTATCGTCACCGCCACTTCAAAAAACTATGCACAGTTTTATAAAATTTGCGAGTTTTATAGCTTACAGTGTAAGGAGAAAGGGAAAAAACTGAATACATCATTTTCTAAATTAATTTTAGTTTTCGGTTTAATCACGTAACTATTTAATGAAATGATTCGACAGGTCTCAAGTCATGCTGGGGCCCATAATTGTGAGCAGCCTTGTGCGTCGTGGGGTACAGTTATTTACTTGTATATGATATAATTTAGCCGATTCTCCTTAAAATTTAAATTATCAGCTGTTAAAGGTGTTTTGACCTAAACTGTAGTTATTTTGAAATTAATTTACATAAATTATCAATTCACATGCACATATGAGTAAACATAGTGAAATTCGAATGGTTCATACTATATTTACTTGTACTTTTTAGTGGTGTTTGAAAAACGTGATGAATATTTTAAATATGTGATTACAAATGTATGTTTGTTAGTGTACACTACGATTTCAGAATCCATAATTAAAAAAAAATTGGTTGCCTGTAAAGTCGGTATACGGGCGAAAGTTTTACGTGACAACGACTTTGATTTGATTCATTCGTATAGTAGGAAGAAGGATGAAATAATAGTAAAAATTCAAAACATTTATTTATACAAAGAAGCAAGACATGAACCGGTGTGTATGCCTATCTCTCTCACTCTCTCTCTCTCGCTCTGTCTCTCTCGCTCTTAGTCGGGCTAACTGTGCTCGAGTGGAAGGGACGCGTGCCTTTCACTTTTTATTTCTGTCTCTCTCGCTCTTAGGCGGGCTAACCATGCCCGAGTGGAAGGGACGCGTGCCTCTCACTCGCTCTCATTGTGAGCGCATAACGTGAGCGGAGTGTAACGCAGTTTCTTGAAGTGTCACCCGGCAAACCAATTTATAAGACGTTGTCACGTCAAAATAATAATTAAAAATTTTGATAACTTACTTTGACGACTAGACGACGTTTTAGCATTATTCATGACGCTTGCTCATTGGATTGGTGATGTCAAATTTATAATTAGAAATTATAAGCCCAGGTTTCCTCAAGATGTTTTTCTTCACCGTTTGTCAGTGATGTCTAAATAATCTTAGAAAGTACATATAACTCGGAAAAGGTCATATTGGTTCTTGCCGTTGGTGAGTTAAGGATGTAAATGCTTGTTACCCTTTTACGAAAATAGTACTCAACGGATTTGAATGATATACATATACCATGGGTGGCCAACCAGTCGATCGCGACTATACCTCTAAATCCAGGCCATCTTGGCTACGTATTAAATACGTACCTACATAGAACACATTGCACAATGATATTACCAACTGCAATAATAGAGGTATTACCAAGAATAATTTGTAGTTTTATATTTTCCCTCATAATAAAATAAAAGTACTACATAATTGTGTACGAATTATGCTGTTTCATTTCAGATTTTAAGTAATAATGTAATTGGTAGATCGTAATAGGTGTCATCAGGGAAAAATCGATCTTGGGTCTAAACAAGTTGGCCATCCCTGACATATACAGATATACATTATAGTCTGGAAGACCACATGATGTAATTTTTATTCCGAGAACGCGGGCAAAACCGCTCGCAATAGCTAGTCAGATAAAGTCATAGACAGAACTTGGTCTACACTTGTTTTCACAGGTGAAAGCGGAAAGAAATGGGTATGTAGACATAAAACATTTATTCAGTCTAAATACCTGAATGACTTTTAGTTTTTATATTACACCTGAAAACGTGAAAGTTTCACGGCTGAGCAAATTACTAGGCAACAGTATACTTAAATAACATAATCATGAATAAATATAAAATAATATAATTATTATAAACATACAACAATTGACCTCGTTGGCTAAATGGTCGCAAGTGCGACCGCCGGGTAAGGGGTCTCGGGTTCGATTCCTGGGTCGGGCAAAGTATTACTGGGTTAAAAAAAATCTCAGTAGTAGCATGGAGTCTGGAATTGTGCCCGGTATATGGCAATATGCTCACCCCGTATTACATGGGACTCGTAACATAAGTAGTGAAAAACGGGTGTTATATTGCAATGTGCACCTCTGTCTACCCTTTCGGGGATAAAAAGGCGTGATGTTATGATGAATGTTACTACGCTTAGGTTCCATTCGCAATTTAAATACAAAGCAAAGCTAACTCTAAAGCTGAAGGGTAGAGTTGAATTTGCAGCTTCAATTTATGAGATTACGTTTTGAGTGTATACCCGAAATACTTGCTAGTTACAAAGATGTTTGGCGTCTGTTGTCTGGAAGCGTCACTGTGCATTTACTGACTAATAGTGACTTCCGCGCGGTTTTGTCTGCGCGTTGACTCCTATTGGTCATAGTATGACGTTTCATAACTTATGGTCTTCCTCGATAAATGCACAAAAAGAATTATTCAAATCGGACCAGCAGTTTTGGAGATTTGCACATTCAAGTTAATAAACACAGAATATTTACTATACTTCTATACTTTGATCTAATCTAGGTTAGGTTAGGTTTTGGGATGTTGTGGCGGGCTTGTCCTATTAATAAGAAAAAAGATTAGATATATGACTTCAATCCTTTTTTTGTATATTTGCTTTTTAGAGATGTTAGACAGAATATGAAATTACCACATAACAGCCGTGCAGGTATAAAACTATGTAATTAAATATGTACATGGAAGTACAGTAATGATCAGTAATGGCAATGACGATATCCTCGGTCACAATGATTGCCATATAAATTAATTCGTGGTTACAATAAAGCATGTATAAAAGTCTATGAGAGCCAATTAAAAATGAAAAATATGTTGTTATTGCTTCGGAACGATGGAATGTTTATTTACTGGTTTCGTTTTTAATATTGGGCTGTTTACTTTATTGGTCTTTGTGGTCGATAGTGTTTTTTTTTTGAGGATTTTGATACGAATTTATTTTCGAAAATTATTGTTTATATTTTGAGATTGGTGTTTATTTTGTGGTAGGTATTTATGTGACATGCGTAACAGTATACTTGTGCTGATTAACAAACCTTCAGTTTATTTTCTTTTACTTCTATAGATTCCATTGAAGATGTAGCTGTTCCATGGTGTGTTGAAATTATTTTTTATTATTATTTTTTTAACTTTGGACCTTACATTAGGATATTTCCTGTGTAGTGGGTGCATTTACAAACATACAATATCACATACACATGACAACCAGACGCAGAACAACAATCTGTGGATCACACAAAGAGTTGTTCCGTGCGGGAATCGAACCCGCGACACGTTGCGCGGCAGCCATTTGCCCAGCCACCGCGCCAACCGTGCAGTCAAATATTTAGTATTTATTTAATAGAATCACCAAATACAGAGTCATACTTATTAAATTGAAGTATTTGGTTTTATACTTGTGAATAAAACCATAAATAAAATACTTCGTTACAATATTTGCAATATACACTTATAACATCAACTACGCTCAACCACATCTAGTACTACATAATCTTCGTCAAAAAACTCTAAGTATATATATATATATATACATATACAACAGGCTTTATTAAATTTAAGACACTTATACAGCGTTCATTGTTGAAAGTTTCAGGAGATTATGTGCTCGTAATAAACTAAGTTTAGAAAACATGCAATGTATTGAAATCCCATGTAAAAGTTTCATACAAGCGTATTAATACAATCATGTTACTGAACTTGTTGTTCAGTGAAAGGGGGTAGGTAGGTGCATGGGGATTGTGTTTCTAATTAGTTTCTGCTAATTAGATGTTTGTGTAGTTGAACCTCCTTGTGATACGGTCTCTTTGAACGTTATGGTATCGGTATTTAAAAGATTCGATGTTTAAAAGAATATTGCTGTTTTATTATTATTATATATACATATGTATCATATCTTCTATACCCGAAGGGGTTGGCAAACGTGCACATTACGACACTTAATGCCACTGTACAATGTAACACCGACTTTTCAATATTTTATATTATGAGTCCCATGTTACAGGGGATGAGCCTATTGCCACATACCGGGCACATTTACAGACTCCATGCTACTACTGAGAATATTTAAAAACACAGTAATACTTTGCTTGACACGGGAATCGAACCCGAGACCCCTTGCCCGGCAGTCGCACTAACGACCACTCGGCCAACGAAGCATTCTCAAATAGCAATTAAGAGCAATACCAAAAAACTATAAGAAAATCAACAAAAGAAGCACAAGGGACAAACGAAAGACTACACACGACTATTAGCTGTCCTTATTTCGTATAAGAGTGCAAAAGGCGACTGGTGACGTCACTGACCGATGGGACGGCGCTTAACTGACTACAAAGAGGCTACTTGCATATGCATCGACTGCTATCGATCCTTCCAATGTGTGTGTGTATGTGGACGGACAGACGCGGACATGATCTTTATATTGTTACTCTTGGGACGTCTTTGCCTTGGGTGTTTAGTTTGCAGTGACTTGACTGTCTTTTTTTATTTTACATTATGGCCCTTAACTCTTTGAGTACCGTCATTATAGACACAATTAAACTGTCAAACACCAAGCGGTCACCGGTAACCGCAACCTATTGTTCTTTAATTGTGTCTATAATTACGGTACTTAAAGAGTCAAAGAACAATAGGTTGCGGTTACCGGTGACCGCTCGGTGTTTGACAGTTTAATGTCATGGCATTACGGCACTTTCACTATTTATGTTTTGAGTCCCATGTAAAAGGGGGAGCCTATTGACACATATACCGGTCTCTATTCCAGACTCTTTTTTCTGTACTACTACTTAGATGTTTCGTAAAAACCCAGTAATACTTTGCTTGACCCGGGAATCGAACCCGAGACACTTTGCCCGGCAGTCGCACTTGCGACCACTCGGCCAACGAGGCAGTCTCATACTTAGTGATGATCAAAGGAAACAGTCCCTTTCGTAATTAGGAAATCACATCTAAGACCCAAGAGAGATCTACCTCTATAGCCGTGATTGTGCGCCACTCAATCAAAAAGCAACATAGATGTTCATCTAGTATTACCACTATACGACATCCCACCATCAAAACCAAACTACCACCAAACAAAAGAATCTATTTTAAAAACATACTCGTTTCAAGTTTGTTTGTTTGTCTGTCATGTTTGCGGGGTAGGCAGCGATGGTAGTCATTAACTTGAGTAAATATTGAGTGGCTGGAAAGGCTCGATACTCGGTCATATTTCAATATGTATTGTGGTTCTTTGAAAAGGAAATGTTTTTTGTGGTGATTGAAAAATAGTGGTGCATTCATTTGTTGTTGTTGGTAAATTGGTGGATTGGTGAATTGATGAGTGGATGGAAAATGTAACTCTGTGAGATCTGTGTAAAGTCTGAAATTAGGTGTCTAGGATAGGCCACTGGCCTTATAATTCGTGTTGGTAAAATAAGTAATCATAATTAAATAAGGTATATATAGGTATAAGGTAGATTAGGTCGTTCAAAGTTATCAATATATATTATTTTTAATTTACGAAGCGTGAAATGTGACCGTTTCTCATTATTGGAAAGTCTTTGGTAGAAAAATATCCTAATATAAAGCTCAAAAAATAATAAGAAAAGTAATGTTACCTCACACTAGGACTGTGGGTTTACAAGCATGCACATGACACCCAGACCCGTGACAACAAATTTATGGATCATGTAAAGAGTTGTTCCGTGCGGGACCTCGATACCTCGCTACACGTTGCACGGCAGCCAATTACCCAGCCACCGCACGAACTGTGCAGTCAAATTCCCAAACATTTTCTGAAACATCTTCTTATTTGTCATAATATGTACCTATATATTGTTCTTGAAACTGCATTGCATAGAGCATTTTTTCACCTGAAGGTAAGCAATCGGCGCCGCCCATGGACATCTGAAACGCCAAGGCGTTACAAGTGCGTTACCGGCCTTTTGGGAATTGAGAATTTGAGGATCGTGGAGGATTCGGGAGACATTGGGGTAATAAGCCTCAGAATCACATCGGTTTTC